AAGAAACTGGTGACAAAATTCCAGCCCCAAAAAAATGACAGAGAGTAATTTACACCAAACTTACTGATATAACTATTACACTTTTATAAACCACAAGCAATCATTCTCATTACAAAACAAGATAAGCAAAACATCATCAACTACCCAACTATGAAGCAAATACACAAGTACACAAACTTAATAAATCCCCTAAAGGAGAAAATTAATTTAAAAAATTTTTTAACGAAGCAGTAGCAATTGAAAAAGCAAATTAGGAGGGAAGGCAGATTGAAATTGTATTAAAATCATTGACAAACGCTATGTAGTTCTCTTGTTCCTAACACTCCAGTTTTTTTAGTTTCAAATGACGAAGAATGATAAAGTACTTTTAACGGATATGTATTCATATTATTTACAGAACAGCAACTGATACAGGACATAAAACGAATAAAAACAAGGCCTTCTGTTAAAAAGTTTATATTACGTAAAATTATGTGAACAACTCGTCAGCGATTAAGCACTGAGCAAAGCTTATAGAAAATAAGCAGTCACCGCAAGTATTTTTTAATAATCTCAATCTCCAGCTAAACAAAAATACTTCTAAATTCCGTAAGCTGCAACAGCAGGCCAACTGAACAAACAGTAAATAAAGCAAACAGCTCAAACAGGGATTTCAGTTTGAGAGAACCACAATTTACCAACGGGTAACTTCCTATAATAATCAGAACTCGAAATTTGTACAGTAGGCCCAACGATCACGTCACTATAAGAGCAAAACTAAGAGCAACTGGAAGGAGACCGGAAGAGCAAAAGACATTTCAGAAATGTCAGAAATTTTTTAGTGTACTTCCTAATTATAGACACAAAAATCACCGTCTCACATCCGCAATCACCTTTTGATACTTAAATAACGGGCTAGATGTAACAAAAAAAAATCTATCGAAAAGACAAGTTTGCATCGATAAAAACCTGGCTACATTGTCTGTAAAGTATTTCCCGAACAAAGTAATATAAGGAGCGAACTGTCTGATTTACTAAAAATGCATCCAGTCAACCAAAAGATCCAGAACAAAAATAATTCCGATAAGCTGAGACAAAGCAATAAAAACAATAAGATCAGGTGAACGTGGAATGCGATGCACCATAATTTTCGCAAAGATCGACTATCTTAATTATTTAAAGAAAGAATTTACATAAGCTTCGAAAACTGTAAAACGAAGTAGGAATAAAAACAATGCTAAACAGTTAACTCGTATACTTGATGCGGCGTTCCAAGTACAAAAACAGCTCTATCACTGCGATATTTACAAAATTATAGTAATCTATCAAAAGATAATGAAACTCTTACACTTTTAAAATCAAATAAAAAA